GGGGGCGGTCACTGTGGAAGATGGGAGCATTCTGCCAAATACAGTGTCCCCTTTCGATGGTGTTATAAAACTGTTCAGTGATCGGTGGGCCTGGTGGAGCAACTGTTTCTGTAACTGATCAAGTGGTCTGTTTTGTAGGTAGGAATATGTGTTGTTGGTCTGCCAACATGGCAAAACATGATAGTTCGGTCATGGCTTACTATGTCAGTATTAAAGGGTTGTCTGGTCTGCTTTGCGCTCACGATGACGTCACATTGTGGCGTAGAGGAGACTCTGGTTTCTGGTGTGAAAGACCTAAAGTTCACCGATATTCATACTTCGTAGCGTTTGCAATCTCGTTTTCATATTGCCACATATTCCTTATAGGAATTCGGCTTCAGACCAATTGATTCTTACCTATCTGACGTAATTTTTTAAAATGTCCTGCTGATAAGTTCCATAAGCGAAGTTTACCGTTGCTATCTTCTCATGGAACAAAGAACCTAGAGCAGCTCTGAAGAGAGATTTTCTGTTTACCCTCGTGCTGCTTAGGTATGTTCAGGCGACGAGGATACCGTTCACTGCAAAACTGATGCATTTTTACAGATGAATAATCACTTTGTTTTTGATGGCTATGCCTTCTCCTCGGTCAATAACTCTGTTAGCCGGTGTTAGCCGAAGCAAGAAACTTCCGATGACACTGTTGACTGATCACGATCTCATTTGCATGTTGACATTTTCGACTGCCGGTAATTTGGCATAGTATTCGTCATTAACCATAGTCGATGATTTCATAAACGCTTCTATTTTTGACCTGCGTATATAAAGTTGCCATTAAACAAATTTGACTTTAAACGCTTGGTCGATAATAGACTTTCAGAGGGACCATAGGTTTTCGCTGATTGATTAACGTCGTCATCGGCGGAAGGGTGTCAAATGTTTATCGAAGTATAAATGTACTGGTCATCTGCTGGCCTTAATTGCGTTCGCTACGCTGCTCGTTGACCGTGGTCACGTTTCGGGAAATCATGTCGATGGACTTCGCGCAGTAAAAATCCCCCATGAGAACTACCGAGGCCAATTGAGGTCATGCGTATATGACAGTGCGCCTGTGATCTTCGCCGCTCATTCATTAGCATTCTTTTGAAGTGGAAAATCGGCGGCAGATTGCTGTCGCTGTTGTTGTTCACATGTCAGTCACTGTCGACAAGGCGAAAATGTGACAATCATGCGGAAAGCCACCGTGAAGATTAATAACCGTGGACTGGGCTGGCGGCGAAAAAATAAAAATACCAAGATCATCGACGCTGCTGCTTATTGAGTGGTTCGATTGATTGGTGTAACTTAAATTTAAATCATCAGTTCACGCTTCTCTTTACTCTTGCCGATGGCATTTATTATAAAAGGATGCATTTCAGAAAGTGAAAGTGCCTACCGTCATTATTCCAGAGGCGATTATCATGGTTTTGGCTCCATGATGCTTGGGCACCTATTGAGACATCTCACGTCGGTTCAAGTATCGGGTTGTTTCTGTGCTTTTGAACAGCATCGATACTTAGTAAACTGTACTTCTTGATCGATTTCTATGACTGCAGCTGTGGCGTTAGTTTCCAAGAGCGTACGAAACAAATAACATAGACATATATGAATATGTTCAGTCGACCAGTTGAAGATTCCTGGAAAACCAAGAATGACTTGGGATGCTACTGCAGCCTGAATTTTTTCAACTAATGATACGTTATCAGTATTGTTATATTTCATAACGTTGCATATTTCATGTGCAGTTATGTGTCAACAGTTCTGATGGTTACTTAGTGCATGCCCTTGGCCAACTGGATACGTTCAATTATTTGCACCCCGCTACATTCACAGAGTGGCGATTCTTTGATCTTACATTTATGTGGAAGGTGCTGGCTCCCGCCGTATCCTCTGGATGCGGTTTAGCGCGGTCTGTTGTCGACGAGATTAGCAGAAGCCTGGGATCACTTTGGCACGACCTTCCACATACCATCAGTTGATATGCATAACAAGCAATGCATCAGACATGTGAATGTACACTTCATTGTGTTACGTATCTCACATATAATCTTCATTACGTACGTTTATATTAAGCAGATTTTTATGTTACGTATAATAAAGGCGGCGTATAAGAATGTGCATGTTAACTAACTATATATAGCGGATTTGTTTATACTGGTATAAACGGCTTATCGTTATTACCGATCATGGTATTGTATGCGCAGTTCGTACACATGCATCATGTAAGAAAGTGTCACGTCATTAATTTTGAAGTATTGTTTTTTATTATTCATGCTCTATTTAATTGCAGATGACGAGAAAGAGGCAACTAGTGTTTTGTTCACGCGAGTACAGTATCTAGTTGTTTCACTTTTTTGTAAATATGGTCGAATGTAGAAACCGCATCGATATTCGATCACAGGGAAGAATGTGATTTATGCCCTGTCGGTCGCCCCGTGGCTAATTCCGGTCGGTAATCAGTCAGATTCCGACTGGCGATATCTGTCGTGTAGATAGACGGCACTGTTCATACTCAAATAACGAATGACTCCTGCAAGACCAGATTTCACGTTGTAAAACAGCGCCCCCTTGTTCCTGGTTGCGTAATGGGTCATTTAAACAGATCACCGGATTCTGCGGCATTTGAGCACTTGCAGTATCCGATGCTTCTCGTACTGTATTGTCCGCTAAAGGCACCTCGTCTTCTTCACAAACGATGTTTCAGGGGCTGTTAATCCTCATATGCTACGTCATGCTCATCACCGGCGGTTCGTACGCCCGAGGATGTCAGTACGTCAATAACGAATGGCTCTTCCAACAGCAGATTTCAACCGTTGCTTATATGAATGAATAACTACCTAAGCAACCGGTGCTATCCGCCTTGGAATTAGGTCTATATTATTTGGCATATTGGCGCTTACGAACAACCTCCACTGCTGACTCCTACTACCTGGGAATCCATCAGTCAAGTTTGAAGGTAGAAAATCTGTAAAGCACGCTGAAACGACGTTATTTGGTTAGTGGCTAAAACTGAATCCGATTGATACTTAGTTTAGACTTTCAGCGAGCTCAGGGGATGAACAGAGGAGGTTAATGAGATGCTTCAGTACCCTTTATCATTGACATGATCGGAAATGGAGGAACCGCCCTCCTTGACCATATGGCGAGGCTACTAAGAAAGGTTTTGGCCATATTTGCCCTTGCAGAGGTGGTGTGCATTCAATGGTCACACACTATGCTAGGCGAAGCCGTTAACCCATTTTGATTGAAGGCACTTCAACTAAGCGACAGGGAATCATGTCATGTCTGACGCTTGCCCATTAGCTAAATAGTTGCGGATCACGCTACGGCTTGATAGTTGCATGACCACTGCTGCAACTGTGGTCATGGATGTTCCCCTCGTACTACCACTGAACTACTTGAGCGACGAATGTCACGGTTTAAATTCAGTAGCGGCAAATAAACTTAAGTTCAAAAGCGGTGCCTAGTTTCCCCGCGAAATTTCTTTGTAAGACACCTGTCGCTGTTCAGATTCGCAGTCTTTCTAGCAACCAGTAAAATGCAGGTAGAACGATAATGTATTACGACTAGCCAGAATCGATTCATGTATCTGTCCCTCTAGCCATATTCGTAGGTCACAACTCCTTTTGTATCGAGGGACAGCAGTCACAGAGGATTTTGTGGTAAGCTCAACCGCTGGGTTCGATCGATGGAAAGAAATTTGTTTATTTTAACTTAAATGGACGATTAACTTTTCTCCACTTCACAGATCCTATGATGGACGTTATCCAGCTCCACATATGTAGCGTTAGTTTCGCTTTGCCCTGGACTTCCAGATTATCGCAGTTGTAATGATATTCACATAAACACGTCATATAGAACCTCTCAATAAGCACTTACAAATTCGTCCTTTCTTTAACTTGGTATCACCCATACCTCTTCTTCATGTCGCTTGAAGGGGTTTAAACAGGACGCTGCTATACATTATTTTAGGGCTACAGTCAAAGTACATCCTTTATGTAGTGTACTACGTTGCTCTTCACCAATGATATACCAGGAGACGATTTCCTTCTGTGCTTTTGCGAAATACTAAATGTGATAAAACTCTTCTCCGTCCCTTACCTGGATTATTATCATCATTTTATTTCCTCAATCCACGGCATAGGATAGCGGTGCATTTGTATTTCATACCAAGGAAAAAGCTGGATATTTTGTCATGCCTTTGATATTTTACGATCCGTTGCTGTTTTGAGAGCTTCATTCGCTTTCGTAATTATATATGCTTTTCGCGTATGCATGGGTTTTAGTAACGGATCCCGTTACCGTCGTCACCTGTCATTCGTTGCCACCAGCTGTCTTGTCATATTTCTTTCTCTCGTCGAAAACCAGCTCTTAGCCGAGGCCAGTTGTCATCGTTGTCGTCTGCGGCTCGGCACGGCGCAAACACGTAGCTATGGAATCGGCGGCTCAGAGTGTCTGTTGTCGGTGAAATCGATACATCGATTTCAATTCTAAACGCTGGTTGGTCTCACTTACCTTTTATGGATTTTTTCCACCTCGGTAATAGTGATCGTCCGAGCTTTTTCGTCGGACATCCAGATGAACGTTTTAAAGGGCCGCTGACGGGGCGTGAATCTAGGTAGTTAGTCGAATACCGCGGTCTTGTCATAGTGTAACGTAGCTATGCGTATGGAACCGGTTTCTGTGCGCCCGGTCGGTCGGTCGGTCGGTCGGGCGGGCGGGCGGTCGTTAATGAGCGAATGAGCGAGGAGGGGTAGTGTCATTGTACGATCATTGTTAGCGTCGAAAGGAACTGGGCATTGTGCTGTTGGCAGCCGTTCGCCCGACCCGTGAGGATCACAATGATATTGACTTAAGCGACATTGCGGTGTTGCTACTGCCGACCGACCTACCGACCGACCAAACGAAGGATATGAACGACGGGGGTGGCGTTGCTGTGGCCAATCCGATCGCTTTCGGACAGCTGGTCAGCGCTGACATTGATCGCAACTGGTCGCAACCGCGGCAGCGGTCAGTACTGTTGTCTCTAGCTGTTTCGGACGGACACCGCCATGGTCCACGACGGTGACATTTCGGCGGCAGTTTCAGCGGCTATGAACGACACGTAGAATGATGAGCTGTAGTAGAAAAGATGTCACTGAGTTTCTGACAGGTCGTTATTTTTTTCAGCGCCGAGGTCGACGGCGGCGGCTCTTCTGCTTCTTCAGGTAAGACAGCATTCGTTGCCAGCGTAACTAACGTATTATACTTCTTCGACTGCTTCAGCACCTTTTCTGCACTTCAACGAGTTCCTGACCAACGCGACCAAAGACAGCGGTGACGCGATCCGTTTTGAATGCCGAGTCGATGGCACGACCCCGATCCGATTCAAGTTCTTGCCTTTTTGCTTCAGGTTACATTTTTCTGACGTCTACGCTTCTTAGGTGGTACAAGAACAACGCGCCGTTGCTGAAGGAAAAAGGCGGTCGCGTCCGCATCAAAAACGGAGAGTTCTGGTCTCGCCTGCGCATCAACAACTTGGAGGTTCTCGACTCCGGTTACTACCAATGCAGTGCGCGCAACCGTGCCGGTGTCGTGAACAGCACTGGTGTGTTGGTGGTACGAAGTAAGTAAGCGACCGACTGCCGCATTATGTTGTTTACCGTCAGAGGGAGGTTCGTGTCAATGAACGAAAAAAAAAACTTTCTTCACGTATCATTGTGGCAGGCACGGATGAGTTAGAAAGGATGAGCAAAGACCTGATAAAGAGCAGTGTCTTTGACTAACTGAGGCTAACAATGACCTTTGAATAAACCTTCAATTATCAGCTTACTTCTTTTATTGTTTCGCGCTACTTTCAGTTAGCAGGTTCAGTTCGTATTTTTTCATACGAACGTAAGAAATTTACGTTCGGCAGTTCTATTATTACCACTATTATGCCGGGGAGCTACCGCGTTTGGCAGAAGCGATTTCATCTGATAACGTTATGGCTCTTTCCATCGGGTCCTTTACGAAAAAAAAACAAAAACTTTTATTTCCAATATTGATGATTCGTTAAATTTAGCGATTTTCTCTATCACCTACCTCATAATAGTCCTTTTGAGCTTTGCGCTGTCTCCAGTTATCATTCCGAGCGAGAAGCTTGGCCAATAATGGAGTTACTTCTAATGCGCTTAGCTGCTGTTTTCAAATTACATGAGAGGCGATGACATGTTTTGCGAACGGCAGCCTTACGCTTACTCTTTTCAAATGACTGCCTGGAAGCTACTTCGACCCTTTAGCCAGTCTGTCACGTGAGACCTTGCCAAAAGCATTTTTCGGTTTGCAGGAACCAATGCTTTTAAGGTCAATGAGGTACGCAAGCTTTCTCGCCACGTTCCCACAAATGGTGCATTCGCTGTGTTTCTTCATACTACGGCTCTGTCTGTACTTTCTACATGAGACTAACATAAAACTGATCGCTGTTTTTTGTTTGTATTGTTAAATCGAACTGAACCGTTTATTGGAGTGGAATTTTGTAAACAGTCCAAATAAACGACGAAATCCACTTTACCAGTCCCGTTATAATAATCTCATCGCGCTGGAGTCAGATACAGGCTCAGCGTTCTGGTTTAGACCGATTGAACGAATTTATCTGACATGTCAGGTAACTCGTTCGGTAGACGACCCCACTCACTCTGATCTGACAGATGGCCGGTTCTTATCATGGCTACATCACTTGCCTGTCATTCTTGCGAAGTAATTCTCGCCAGTTTTCGGCTATTTTCTGACCGCAAATCAATCAGATATGGGCTGCGACCTGAATGCGAGACAACGTTAATTTTGCAGTTCCAGTTCCATCGACTTTACCTTGTTAAGGAGGTTACTGTTGTTGAATTTCGTTTTCGTGTAACTGTTCAGGCGGAGAATGGTATCGTTGATTTCTGACATTCTGACTTCATGGTTTGAGCTCTGGGAGTTGGTACAAAGTCAGTATCTGATGACTGACTTTTCCACGTCATTGATGCTACATATCATAAGTACCTTAGTTTTCTTATTACCATAAGGTGTGACCTGTTTGCAAGGTTCGATATGACATCTGTCGTGGCAGCATCTGATTCAAGTCTGACATTGTCTCCGACGCATCAAGCATCAGTAATTTGAGTATCTCCGTTTTTCGAGCTATGTTAAATTTTGAAAAGGATGACGACAGAAACAACTCAGAGTTTTCAAATGCTCATTTCAATTCGTCCTTCAGCATATATATTACCAGATATATACGTTTATATTATAGAATTTACCCGTAACCATCGAATCAATTATACATGTGTTAAAGTGTCTTCAGGTACGTTACGCAGGACGTTGGTTTCAAAGGTAGCTTAAAACGAGCAGGATTTTCTGCATATGTATTAAAGTGGGATTTTACGTTTACGAGCTGGTTCGTAAACGGAAGGCCAGCAGCTGCCTCGATGAGACGTTTGCTGTTTGAAAAAGACAGCGGTTTTGCGCATTTTCAGAGCTTTTTGAATTCCATGTGAAAGAGGACCGTATTAAGAATATGTGCGTAGCGTAAAGGCTAATTTCCTTTTTATTGCGCATTGCCCACGTTCTCTAAAAGCAGTACGTCGGTGAAGTGAAGTGACTTTTGGTTCGCGTTATACAACGGTAGGCAGATTCTGTCACATGGGCTTACAGTTTACCTGCGCACCTAATTTAATCGTCCTGTTCTTCCTTTACACAACTGAAATATCTATAAAATGGATATTGTAAGTATTATCGTCATTTGTATTATGCGGCGCATCGACTAACTTATCATATTTGGACAACGTTTCTGTTTGTCGTTCCTTGCTGAAAAGTCTTAAATTTCTGATTGGTTAAAATCATGAACAAGTAGTGTTAACAACTGATAGCAATGTGTGCCGCGTTAGATGGATTCAGGTTTGTTCTAAATCTGCTTTCCGTTACGGAAAGTTTGCCGTAATGTGCCTTGCCTAATGAATGCTTTTGCTCACGCCTAAAGGCCTTGTAGTTTGAATCATCCGTCGAGGTGTACGGATTTTGCTAATAGTTCAATTATTCTGAAAGAAACGGGTCAAACTTCCTGCGACCATCCACAGGTCATAACATTTTCCTACGCGCTGTAGTGGGTGGTGTCGTAGTGCGCATCCGAACGTGCCACTGCC